TTTTCTGAAACAGTATATATTCCCACATCAAGAAAGAAAAGAGAAATAAGGGAAATCTCATGATTTTGACAATCAGGGAAAAGCTATAAGAGAGTTAAAGGAAAGAGATGGGGGAGGAAAAAGAGAAATTAAGAGTAAAATAAAAATGTTCCCAATTTATTGAATGAAGATACCAAAACACTACACTCTTCACAACTTTTATCCAGATTTAGAACTTGAAACACTCAGAAAAAAAAAAAATCCTCCTTCACCTCAAGGTATTTCTTACCATAATGCTAATGTTTGCACATCAGATTAACCCCAAAGCAACAGAGACTGCAAACCAGAAGGGAGAAAAAAGTTTTTAACACTCCAGTCACCAAAATGCAGAATAAAACAAAGACATTTATATACAAATTATATAAAATGATATAGAAAAAAAAAACAAAAACAAAGGACAAGCATGAAGACATCAGGAAAAAAAATCTCACCAGATTTTCAACATGAACATCAAGAGTAGCCTTTGATCCTGAAAGATCAAAATGACAAGCAGTTTGATAACCAGGCTTTAACTAGTGTCCTTATTACAGCCTTGTTCCATATAGAAGGCAAAAATAAAGAACCAGGTGAGTTTAAAATTGGATATAATTATCTGAAGGAATCTCAAAGGAACTTTTGCCTATCATAGTATTTGAAGACAAGGAGGGCCCTTAGAGACATATCTAGTCTATTCCTCATTTTAGAGATGGGGGAAATATCACCCAAAGGCGTAAAAATGACTTGACCAAATTCATACAGCTAGTTGCTATAAGTCAGGACTAGCATTCAAGCCTACCAGTCCCTACTCAGGGGCTCTTTTCCCTCTTTCGTGCTTTTAAATTTCTATCTAGTAACAGCATGCTTATTTTTTTTTAAAGCAGTCATCAATGAATTCTGTCATTTTTCAAAGTTGAAATATCATTTTTTTTTGTATTATCCAAGGCTCTACTTTCTTTTCCTCTTCTCATCTATCTGTAATATTGACAAGAGGGTACTTGGGTTATTTGCTTGCTTCCTCTCTACTAGGTGTCTGCTAGAGAATTTGAAAAAATGTGTATTTCACGCAAACCAAAGAACTGGTAGGTTTGTTTTCACCCAAATAGAGGCCAGCTGGCATTGCTCCCAACCCCTTTCCTGGCACTCAATCACACATAATATTATAAGAATCAGTGCACATATTATTCTACCACCACCCCCACTAGAATGTAAGCCTCTTGAGGGAAAGGAACATTTTTGTTGGGTTTGGTTTTGGGTTTGGTTTTTTTTTTTTTTTGCCTTTGTATTAGATACTTAATACATGCTTCCTGGGGTGAATTAAATTGAATACATCCTCTCCTGACCATCCGTAGGAGTGACTGTTCATACTCCAAAGCTCCTTCCTCTCTTTGGAACCTAAACACTGTACCTATGTACCATACACCAAAGTACCAGGCTAAACATTTTCCCCCCCTCATAAAGAGGAACTCAAGAGCAATCAAAAAAAAAAAACTGAGACTGGCAACATGGGAACCTATGGTTCAAGATGAATAAGAAAGGCTATATGGCACTTTGACTATACATGTGTTCACATATGTAGGAATACACACACAAGTATATGTATGACTAAATGTATTGAAAAAGAAATCATGAAAACAGCATGTCAAGACTAGGAATTCAACTTACACTTGTGGAAACATCTCTCAGAATTATGTCAAAACCAGATTGGTTTCATTTCATGGCGCAAATAGATCAAGAGCATAGAATCTATTTCTTCAAGGAAATCTCACTTTTGAAAATAATGAGAACAGTTGTAGACTACTGCGTCCTACTTAATGATATTAACATTCTGAATTGACACTCAGTTTGCATATATTATGTTCATTACAGCATCTGTGATTTGGAGGAGGCAAATTTCCCCCAAGACACAAAATAATCAAAAGTTGGTTATATGTTTATCCAGGAATTTAACGGTTATTTCCCCATGGTAGCTGTATGACCAAAGGCTTTTGTCAAACAGCACTGATCGAAATAAAACCCATCTAATCACTTTTGACTCCCATACAACCACATCTGTTTCAGAGCTAGAGAGGCCACATGTGTACGAGAATTGTGCCCAGGCGGGCATCACAACGTGTCCAAGGAGGAAGCTGAATAGTGTCAGACTAGTAGCATTCTTGAAGCTCATCAAGTTATGAAGTCTGCATGGTATTCTGGTCTATTGGTTCAACTCCATTAATAATCATGGCTAACATTTATAAAGCATTTACTATCTGCCAGGCACTTTGCAAAATCTTTCATTTTATAATCTTATCTGATCCTCAAAACAAGCCTGGAAGGTAAGTGCTATTATTATCCCCATTTTATAGATGAGAAACTGAGGCAAACAAGAGTTAAGTGATTTGCCCAGGGTCACACAGCTAGTAAGCGTCTGAGTCCAGATTTGAAAACCGGTCTTCCTGACTACAGGCTTGGCATTCTATCCATTTCACCACTTAGATGCCCTTTAGAAAAGACCATGGAGTTCTGGTCCGATTCTCTACATAGCATCAATTCCTGAGAATTCTATGTTGATAAAATCCAAGACAACTCTTCAGTAAAGTTGGAGATGCTATCAGAAACTTCAGACTTATCCAGACTTCCAGGCCTGCCAAACACCAACCTCGACCCTCAGGAAGCTAAAGACAGGAAGTGGTGAGCTGTTGAGTGGGCAGTCACAACCTGACCTCTCCAATTGGAATTTTTCTGAGTTGATTTCCTGGGGAGATCCCCTAGGACAACTATCAATTTGCATAGAACCCTGAGGAAAGCCTTGTTCATACTGATCCTGATTTTGCAAAAAGGTTTTAGCTATCATCAAGCTAGCCTCAGGAATGTAGCATGTCCTGTGGTCAACCAGCCACAATCTGTAAAATGTTTGTCAATAGCTCCATACTAGGATGGACTAAAAGGTCAGTTTCTTACATCCGTATGGCATAGCATGAGCACATCCTGTTTTCTGACCCACTGAAAAGACGTGACAGAAATTTTCTGAGGTCTTTGGCATAGTTTTTAGTTAAGAAAGCATAAGGAACTAGTGGAGAGAGAAGCAGAGGAAAAATTAGCTGGTATTCTTACCAAAGATCAGGCCTCTTTCTAAAAAGTACAAGGGAAGAGGGAATCTGTGCAAGAGCAACTCCAAAGAATGTTTTCAAAACACCAAGATAGGAAAATCAAGTAAATAGGCTGCATTTCTCTGGGCTTAACTATTCCTAAAGCAAGCTGTGCAAAATAATGCTTAGTTGCTAGGTGGTCATGGCTTGCAACCTTAGCTAAGGTCTTGATCTGTCCAGGCCAGACAATAGTACTGTACAACCAAAGAAGGTCAGACTGCGGGTGGCTTTTTCTCCCAAAATCAAGAATGCAGATGTTATCTGCCAGATGTGTCCAACCTTTTCTTTTCTACTCTGAACTAGCCTGCAGACAGGAAACCTCACAGGCCTTTTTGACCTTGCTTACTAGGCACCTGTGCCACATGGGGGGGAAAACCACTCAGCTGGAAGAGGGGACAATGTTTAGTATTTTTGGAGTATGGTTTGTCATGGAGGAAGTAAAAAGGAGAAGGGGGAAAATGCAGAAAACTTAAATGGTGTAGAACCCCATGGGGTTGAGGAAGTACAACAACATCAGAAAGCAGTTGGAGATCTATTCTCAGCCATGGTCTTCCACTAATTATGTGACCTTGGGTAAGTCATCCAATCTCTCTCCGCCTCAACTTCTTCCTCTGTAAAATGAGCCAGTGAGATTTGACAATCTCTAAAGTTCCTTCCAGCTTTAAAACTAAACGATTCTAAACTTTCCTCAAGCTTTCAGCTATGGATGGAAAGTACTCCATGGAGAGGGAGTGGATCAGCAAAGACAGATAAGGAGCTAACCTAGGTAGGTGTCCCTCAGGAGCTGCATCTGAAAATCTTGAGAAACCTAGGAAGAGATGAAGGGAGTGAGGAGGTAACTGGGAAATTGGCAACCATCATGGATTAGACTATAGTAGGGACCCCAAAAAGGTTTGTTTTTGGAAGCATAAGATAAATCTTAACTTTTAGCTCTGGATGTGCAGGGCTGTAAGGAGAGCAGCCTTTTTTTTTTTTAAGAGTCTGAATTGGAGAGTTGGAAAAAATATGATAAAATGTTTTTGCATTGAGGATAGGTGAACGTGCAATAGGAAAAGGAATCCCCCTCTTATCATTTAAGAGATTAGACAGCCAAGATTGGAGTGAAGAGAGAAAGCAAGGTGGCATTTATCGACTGACCTCTTCAGGAAAGGTACCTGGTCCAAATGAGAAAGAGGGAAATGGGGCAGAAAATCTACTGTAGAACGTCTCCACCTGGCCCCCTCCACAAACCGCCAATGAAAAGTGGGCAGATACCACTTTCTGACACGTGTTACACATTCTTTCTGACTAGCTCACTGAAGAGGCAGCTGCAACAGTTTCAATCTCTATGTACTGAAGCGCTCCGTGTCCCAACAGGGGAAAAAAAGCCAATAACAAAAGAAAAAGCCCAGCCCGCGGGAAACCACTGTCACCAGAAACGGGAAAGGAAACTGTCTTCCAAGAAGGCCTGAGAAGCCCCAGAAAAAGGAAAAGGAGCCCTGAAGAGAGTCAAGAGCCCGGAGTCCTTCACACTGGGCACACACACGCGGCTGCATTCCAATGGGTTAGAGTCGCGGGAACAAACTTTCTAAACATTAAAACCTTCTCCCATTGCCACCACGCCCTACTCTGGGCGATAAAGGAGCAAATATCTGGACCCAAATGCTTAGTCGAACCCCTTCCTCAGGACCAAAACTGGGCAATGGAGGATGAAACAGATCGCTATCCCTCAATGTTTTTGCTGACCCCAATTTCAAGAAAAGGAGCGAAAAAAGCCATCCTTTAGATCTTCGTGCCTCAGGTCCAGTACCTACCCCGCCATCCCACCCCAGCAGCCAAGCTCTCCCTGCCCGTTCCTAGCTGTCCCTGGTTCACCTGCAGTAGACAAGGCAGTCCAGGTGGTTGATCTCGTGGTCCGAGCGGTGGCGGCTGTAATCCTCCCAAAGGTCCTTGATGGCGGTGACGGCCAGGATGAAGAGCACCGGCGCCAAGGCCAGCTCGGGCTGGAAGGCATTCAGGACAGGCACAAAGTTACACAGGGCGATTAAGACGAAGTACACGTTAGCCAGGCGATGAAACTGCTCAAAGAGGTTCTTGGGCAGGAAGGACAGTACAGTGTACTTGGTCGTCTTCAGCCGGTTGTCAGCCAGGTGCTGGGAGCCTCCCTGACTCCACCGCCACCGATGGGGAGCCCCTTTCACAGCTACATCGGGCTCCCCACCCCCCGGGGGCGGCAGCAGGTTGGAGCGCACAGTCCTGGTCTTGCTCTCCCTCCTTCGCCGGCGCCGCTGCTGCCTGTGTCTCCTCGGCTCCTCCTGCCCCTGATCCCCTTCTTCTCGTGCTGCTGTATTTTTCCTTCTCGCCCCTCCATCTGTCCCCATGGTCTCTAAAGCTTCCCCAGTTTGCTGCCCCAGAACACCCCGCTTCAGCCCCAAGGATGAGCTAAGTGGTCCGGGGAATACTTGCTACAACTTATCAGGCTAAAGCTCAGCCGGGAGCCTCTCTCTAGCAGTCACTCCCGCTCTCTTTTCTCTCTCTCTACCTCTCTTCCCCCCGCCCCCCTCCAGATCTGGGTGTGTACGTCCCGTACTCTCCCTACTCCAGCCTCTTAAGTGATCTTCATTATTCTCTTTCAACTCGGGGCTCCCAGCCCTTGGGTAGAGAAGGGTGGAAACGCCTCGCTCTGTGGGAGTACAGATACGAGTCCTCCTCCTCCCACCCTCACTCCTCCCTCCTCTCCCGCCTCCCCAGTTCCTGTACTCTGCTACAATCCCTCCTTCGTCCGCTGCTGCCACCTCCGCCCACACCACCCTGAGTTCAGACTGATCTCTCTTCGCTTGTAACTTTTTCTTCCTTCTTTCTTAAATTTGCAACTCGGGTGGCTGGCTGCAAGCCGCTGCGGCTGCCACGGCTGCTGCTGAAGGCGGGATTGAATGACTGTCCAGTTGTCTCTCCATGAGCCGGGGAGTCATACAAAGTAACCCTTGTACTACTGTACGTCACTTACCAACCCCTGGCTCTCGTTTCCGCTCAACTGCTAAAAAGTCGGGCACAAAGTCAACACACACGGAGAGACTCCCCCGCCTTCATCCCTAACCTACACCCCATCCCCAGCCCCACAAAAGCCTGCTCCACGGTGGAATAAAAACATCACTTCTGCCCACCAGGCGTGGGCTCAGAGAAAAGAAACATAATTGGAAACTTTAGGAAGATTCAGTTTCGTTTCTAAACAGCGTTAGTTAACTGACTCTCAGGACGTCCAAAATGTTTGGATCCTATCAAGATGAAAAAGTGGAAATGGGGACAAATACCCCTGTTGTCACCTAAGCTTTTGAAACCCAGTCATTCTGGCTTTTGGATGGCTCTTTGGGAAACATCGAGGATTGAAGTTCATTACAATGGAAAAGTGATGCAAATTATTGTTGTTTTTATAACCCTTATTTGTCTGGGAAATCGGAGAAGTCTGATTCCCTCGGTGATGCTCCTCAATTTTCCTCCATTAACCTTGCCCTTCTCTCGTCCTGAAGGTCCCAGCTGAATCTTCAGACTCCATAATTGTAACAAAGTAGCAATGGAGTTTCCCCACGCCCTTTCTTTTAATTTCTCTAAAGTGGAGTTAAATTGCCCTGGGGAGGGTGTTGGGCATGGGGAGTAAGGGGTGTGCCTGTGTGGGTGGGTTGGTAGGTGTGTTTAGGGATGGGAAAACAAACATCTGAAGAAGTTCAGTAGCCAAAGGTAGGTTTTGCTTGAAAGGAAGGAAGTTTTTTTCACCGTTCCAGATTGATGCCGATGAGATGTACCTCTATTTCCCTCCAATCTCCTTCCTTGCCCAGTAAATCCTATGATCTAATAAAAACAACATCCCAGTTGGTGACTCTGGCTGGGGTTTTAATCCGATTAAGGAAGTGTAATTGTAGATTGGCTTAAAATATGCGAAAAGAATTTTGGAGATGGAAAGGTTTAGTGAGTAAATTCTGACCAAAATGCTCTGTCTATATTCAATTGTAAATATCCTTACGTTTCAATTGGGAGGCCTGGAGGTTGGAGAACAAAGGTGGGATATAGACAATTACTGTCGCCATTTAGTGTTTGACAAGTGGATAGAAGGCCGGACTTGGAGTCTGGAAAATTCATCTTCCTGAGTTCTAATGTGGCCTCAGACACTTGCTAGCTGTGTGACCCTGGGCAAGTCACTTAACACTGGTCACCTCCATTTCCTTATCTGTAAAATGGACTGGAGAAGGAAATGGTGAACCACTCCAATCTCTCTCCCAAGAAAACCCCAGCGAATTTTTTCGAAGTTCAGTGAAGGCGTGCTTAGACTCTTAGTGATTGTGTGTGTGTACTTTTTACTTTAGAAACCCTCAGAGCTTTAAAGTTTAAGTCAGAAGACCTAAGTTCAAATCCTAGGGCTCCAACTTCCACCTTGTATGACCTTAAGCAAGCTCAGATTCCTCACCTGTAAATGAAATGAGGGGGTTGAGCTATTTGACCGCTACGATCCTTTTGGTTGCCAAATCTATGATCCTGTGCTTCAGAGTGTCTTTCTTCTTAGGATGGTTTCCCCATCTTGGATTTTGATAACAAGGGCTGCGTTTGACTAAGTACTTCTTTCTCATTTCATCCAGTGAGTTTTTTCTCCCCAAGATTTTTCAGTAGGCATGCTAAGGATGAGGCCTCCGAGTCCCAAGAGCTCCCCAGGGTTAACAGAAGCTAGCCTGAGTTCCTCCCTTCCTGGACTGAAGGATTTTCCGTTTTATAGCATCAGGAATCATCACTCAGGAGCCTGGGAAGCAGGTTTGCAGTTACCTCTTATTTCTCCCTCGTCTCAGCTCCAGAAGTAGGAGCCTAGACCCATAAGAGCCAGGACTAGAAAGGACATTTTTATTGCAGAAAAGCAGACAGGAATATCCCATTTCTGTGTCCACCTTAAAGAAATTCAACAGAGGTTGTTTAACGAACTTAATATATATTAAGCATGTACTTACTACTCAAAAGGCAGCACATTTCTGGTAAATCTTATATGGTAAAATAAATTTGAAATTTTAAAATATATATCACAAGATTAAGAACAACTTGTCAATAAAATTCTAGAATAAGCTTGTTTTCCCTTTTAAAACTCATATTTTTTTAATTCCAGCATAATACCATTTTAAAAAATTCAGTACTTACCCAGTAGATCTTAATCTGTTCGCCCTTCTGTACAGTGCCTTCCCCCCTTCCCATGAAAGATTCAGGACAGTTAAGATAAGAAAAAACTCAAAAATATACTTTTCATGCCTTTCCAACAGCAGGCCATTTTAAGAGATTCCTTCTGCCAATAGTACAGTCTATGAATGTATTGTTTACATAGAGAATACCCGAGAATAGTACAATCTTCTGTTTGCACAAACCACTCATCCATTAGACTTCCCACTGGCTTTACAGGAACTCCCCACATTTCCCTTAGATCACTCTGCTCCTGAGTTTGTTCACTCCTTGCTGCTGCCTTTTAATATCCCTTGTTGTTCAGTCATTCCAGTGCTGTCTGACTCTTTATGATCCCATTTGGGGTTTTCTTGGCAAAGATACTGGAGTGGTTTGCTATTTCCTTCTCCATTTTTTTACAGATGAGGAAGCTGAGGCAAAGAGGGTTAATTGACTTGCCCAGGGTCACATAGCTGTTAAGGTCAGATTTGAACTCAGGAAGATGAGTCTTCCTGACTCCAGGCCCTGCAGTCTATCCACTGAGGAACCTAGCTGCTCTTTTGAATCCCTACCTCCCTTCAAAGCTTAGACTAGGCATCACCTGCTACATTGCAGCCTTTATTAATCTAAACCCTAGAATTACCTTTTATTTATTTTGTAACAGCACCCTCCTCACCAAGGTGGGTATGGGTGGTTTTCCTGAAGGACAGCCCTGAGATAGCAAGTGTAGAAAGATATGTCTACAATTGGGTGGGAGATCTCTGAGCCAATGAAGATTGCTTATAGGAAGACTAGAAGTGGTGAAGGAGGTGGGAGAATGAAAGATGGGGGGAGGGGAGAGCAGAGAGAGAGAGAGAGAGAGAGAGAGAGATAGTGCATGAGCTCAAACTTTTGAATGGTTAACAGGAATTCCTTAGAATGACAAGCATGTGGGGCAAGCTGCACCCAGTATGTCTTTTGATTCTTAGTGCCTATACCCACAGAGACTTTGAAGAAAATACTTCTTGGACTAGATTGTTCTCTCCTTGGTTGAGCTGAGATTTCATTTGGCTCCCAAATTGAAGAGCCCACTTATTCCATGTATTCTGCATTTACACTTATTTGTATGACTCTCCCCACCCATTTGTTTTGCTATTTGTCTTGATAAATGTTTCCTTGCTACCTGAGATTGTCTTTTATGTTGTGTTTGTCATTCATTTTCAAAGAGAACCGTGGCATCAGGGAGATGATGACATGACTTGCAATTGACTTTGATTTGAATAAGGGAGGGCTGTTCAAGGTCGCCAGCCTCCCTTTCTCCTCCAGAGCCATCTGGGTCTGGTGGCCAGATATTCATCAGGATGACTGGAGATGGCCCAGAATGCAGTGGGAGACCCTGGCCCTTTTAAGCTAAGGTCTTCACAGTGAGGCACTTTGAGTGAGGCAACCCCCATTCTATGAATTCTGTGAGTCAAGGGATGGACCGTTTAATCCAAAATAAAAAAATCAAACTGGGAGGGGAAGACCCTCAGGGCTGCTGGCCAAAAGAGAAACAGTTACTATTTACATTTGCTCTGAGGCTGTTGGGCCCAAAAAAGGAGCATGAAGTGGTGCTTGGGCAAGAACCTATTGTTGTCTAATCTATGAGCTCCTGAGTGAATTGGGTTTAAGGCTTGATCTTTGAGAAAGAAATCTAGTCAGTAAACCCGGGAGAGGGTGAGGTGATTCTTAGAGGCAGCCAGGTGGCTCAGTGGATAGAACATTTGGGTCAGAATTCAGGAAGACTTATGTTAAAATATGGCCTCAGACACTTACTGTGTGATCCTGGGCAAGTCACTGCTTTATTTCTGTTTGAAGAAGGAAATGGCAAAGTACTTCAGTATATTTGCCAAGAAAGCCCATGGTCAGTATTAGCAAGCTATGGTCTCAGGATCACGATGAGTGGGGCAGGACTGAACAACAGCAGCAAAGGTAACCCTTAGTCTTAGGAATGACTACTTCCTCTTTGTAGTGACCCAGGAAAGACTATGCTTTATGCTAAAGCCCCAGAAGAGCATTATAACCCTGACTACAAATAGCTGACCTGTAGAAGGATAAAACTCTAGCCTAATTCCCCTTTTGTAGTAAGATCATGGAGGAGTGAGCATTCAACCATGACCCTCTGCCTTCTCTGTCTTCCCCCACCTCCAAGAGTGGAATCCAGTCTTCCTGGCCTCTGAGTAAGTCAAATGCCTGTATCCCCATGACACCAGTCTTTTCTTATTAGATAATGATTCCTCTATTTATCTATCTATCTATCTATCTATCTATATATATATGTAGTTTCCTCTGATAGAATGTAAGATGCTTGAGGTAGAAACTGTATTACTCACTTCTTTTTATTCCTAGTGATAAGCACAATGTCTAGCAGGTAGCAAGTGCTTAAAGTGTGTATTGATTTCAATACTTCTATTGAAAATCACCACAATTTCAAATTTTTTTTGCAAGAAGTTTCTCTGATAAAGGCCTCATTTCTCAAATATATATGGAAATGAGCCAAATTTGTAAAAATAAGAGCCATTCCTCAGTTGATAATTGGTCAAAAGATATCGACAGTTTTCAGAAGGAAAAATCAAAACTATCAATAGTCAGATAAAAAAGGGTCTAAATCACTGATTAGAGAAATGAAAATTAAAACAGCTCTAAGATAGTACCTCATACCTATCAGATTTGCTAACATGACAGAAAAGGAAAATGATAAGTGTTAGAGGGGATGTGGGAAAACTGGGACACTAATATCACTAATATGCTATTGGTGGAGTTATGAACTATTTGAACAATTTGGAACTACAACTAAAGTGTGAGGGACTGTCTGATGTTGGCAGTTGCCAGTTGGGCGCTGTGGCAAGAGTAGGGTAAGATCTGGGTATTTGAAAGTCGAGGCAGGGGCTGTGGTAGGCGGAGTCGTGGTGGACTGGGATGGGCTGGGTACGGAGAAGCCCTGAGGCAGTGGGCAGTGCTATGTGAGATAAGCTGGGTGCAAGGAAGTAGCTGAGC